GCACCCACCTCGCGCCGCTTTGCATCGCTTTGCACCCACCTTGCACCGCCTCGCGCCCGCCTCACGCCGCTTTGCACCCACCTTGCATCGCTCTGCACCCACCTCGCGCCGCTTTGCATCGCTTTGCGCCCACCTTGCATCGCTCTGCACCCACCTCGCGCCGCTTTGCATCGCTTTGCACCCACCTTGCATCGCTCTGCACCCACCTTGCGCCCACCTTGTGCTGTTTTGCACCACCTTGCACCCATCACGCGCTGCCTTGCGCCCACCAACGCCGCCTTGCATCACCTCGCAGCTACCGTGCGCCCACCGGCCGCTGCCCTGCGCCCATCTTGCATCACCTTGCACCCACCAACACCGCCTTGCACCCAACCTTGCATGGTCTTGCATCATCAGCTTGCACCCACCTCTCACGGTCTTGCACCCAACCTTGCATGGTCTTGCATCATCTTGCATGGTCTTGCATCACCTCGCACCCAACCTTGCATGGTCTTGCGTCACCGTGCGTGGTCTTGCATCACCTTGCACCCACCTCGCACCCAACCTTGCATGGTCTTGCATCACCATGCACGGTCTTGCATCAGCTTGCACCCACCTCGCACCCAACCTTGCATGGTCTTGCATCACCGTGCGTGGTCTTGCATCACCTCGCACCCACCTCGCACCCAGTCTTGCATGGTCTTGCATCACCGTGCACGGTCTTGCATCAGCTTGCAGGGTCTCGCACCCAACCTTGCACAGTCTCGCAAGACCCTGCATCACCTCGCACCCACCGCGCGCCCCCCCGACGCCCCCCGCTCACCTTGGAGAGCCGAAAATCCACCAAAATCTTGCTCTCCATCTCCACCAGGTTCACCTTGAAGATGAGTTTGTTGTTCCTCCTGTCCGTGATTATTTGCAGATGCGACGGCGTGATTTTGCACCCCAGATTTTGCACCCCAATCCCTACCTGGTTCGTGCAGCTCTTCTTCCAGCCGTACCCCATCTTCTCACAGACCTCTTTCAGGGCGCGGTAAGAGCCGTCGGCGTCCAGTTTGGTGAAGAAGCGCGTCATCCGCTTCACCAGCCGCTGCCACGGGCTCTGCCGGCCCCAAAAACGGGGTTGAAAAGTTATAAATCCCGCAAAGTTGCAGCCCCGGCTCTGCAAAACCGCGGCCTTGAGAGGATAAATATTGCAAAGCTGCACCCCCTGATGGTGAAGGCTGCGAGTTGCATCTCCCAGGTTGCAAAGTTGCATCTCCCAGGTTGCAAAGTTGCAGAACTACTGCAAAGTTGCACCTCGAATATTATAAAACCTGCAAAGCAGCACCCCCAATATTGCAAAGTTGCTCCCTAATATTATAAAGAGCAGAAATCTGCTTCTTAATCTTATATACGTAATGCAAAGTTGCATCACAAGTATAATAAACACTGCAAAGTTGGACCCTGATGTGCTAAATTGGATGCGAAGCTGCATCCCAAACACCGCAGTTGCACCCTGATAGCGTAAATGCTGCAAAGTTGCACCCCAACCACTGCAGAGTTGCATCCTGATACTAAAAATACGGCAAAATTGCACCCCAAATACTACAAAGTAGCACCCCGGGATGACAGACACTGCAAAGCCGCATCCCCAATATTGCGCAGTTGCATCCTGGTATTATAAACGCTGCAAAGCTGCACCCTAAACATTGCAAAGTTGCATCCTGATACTAAAAATACTGCAAAGTTCCGTTCCAAATACTGCAAACTTGCACCCTGGGGTGATAAATAATGCAAAGCTGCATCCCCAATATTGCGAAGTTGCTCCCTAATGTTATATATGCTGCAAAGCTGCACCCCAAATGCTGCAAGGTTGCACCCCGCGATGATAAACCTTGCAAAGCTGCACCCCAAATACTGCACAGTCGCACCCCAAATGCTGCAAGGTTGCACCCCGCGATGATGAACCTTGCAAAGCTGCATCCCAAGACCAAAAAACCCACGGCAAAGCTGCATCCCCCATATTGCAAAGTTGCATTTTGATATTCGAAATGCTGGAAAGTCGCGCCCCCAAACACTGCAAAGTTGCACCCCGACACAACGAAGCCTGCAGAGCTGCACCCCGAACACCGCGCAGCACCTGGGAGGAGCCGGGGGTGCCGAGGAGCTGGCTGTTGACCAGCATGTGGTCGGGGCAAGCGGGCTGGGAGAAGCTGATGCCCTGCACGAGCTTGTCGATGCTGGCCGCCCCGCTCTCCCAGAGCGCCCCGCCGGTGCCGGGCTCCGGCTGCGACGTGGAGTAGCTCGCCTTCTCCTCGCTGCAATGCAAGGGGAGACGGGACATGAGGGACGGGGGTGCAAAGGAGAGATTGCACGGGTGGGGAACGGGGAGGTATCGGAGCAGGGGAATTGCACCGCTGTGGGATTTTGCAGGATTCTGTACGACGGCGCGTACGCAAGCAGGGTAAACGCAGCCTTGTGCGTGGTTTCCACCAAACCACCTCCTGGTGAAAACACAGGGGAAGCCCTGCAACGTGCAAAGAATTGCAAAGTGCAAAGCCTCGCAGCGTGCAAAGCCCTGCAACGTGCAAAGGATTGCAACAGGCAAAGCCCTGCAGCGCGCAGAGCCCTGCAACGTGTAAAGCTTTGCAATGCACAAAGCCCAGTGGCATGTAAAGCCTTGCAATGTGCAAAGCCCTGCACCGTGCAAAGAACTGCAAAGCGTAAACGCACTGCAACGTGTAAAGCTTTGCAAAGTATAAAGCCCGGCGGCACGCAAAGCCCTGCAACGTGCAAAGCCTTGCAGCACGCAAAGCCCTGCAACGTGCAAAGCCTTGCGCTGCGCAAAGCCCTGCAACGCCCCACAGGGTACAAAGCCCTGCAACGAGCAAAGCCCGGCACCGTGCAAACACGCGGGAAAGCTCCTGCTTCCCCCGCAGCAACGAACCCCAGCAGCACAAACCCAACGAGGCGACCTGGCAGCGCCCAGGCGCGCGCTTGCGAGCCGGAGCGCGCGGGGAGGGATGCAAAGGGGACGCGGCGGCTCACCCCAGCGCGCTCTTCACCGGTGAGAAGTCCGTATCGGAGCGGACGGGCTTGGAGAAGCCGCCGGGGGAGTCGGCGACGCCCCCCGAGGACACGCGGGCCCGCTTGACCCCTGCGAAGGCAGAAGACACCCAGTGACCCCCCCAAATCTGGGGGGACGAGCGCGTTCCCCGCCGGCCCCTTACCCTTCTTGAGGGGTTTGCTGTACCACCGGTCCTTCTTGATGTCGGGGATGGTGATCCTCGCCGTCGGGCTCTCCGTCAGGATCTTGTGCAGCAAAGCTGAGGGAGACAGAGCGGGGAAATGGCGATTGCCGGCGCGGCATCGGGTGCTGCCGGGTGCCGGTTGCTTACCTAAGGGTGCCGAATCGATCTTCTTCCAAGGCGGGAGGTAGGTTTTCCTCTCCTTCCAGTCGCTGTATTCCTGGCAGCTATCGCTGGGCTGGTCCCAAGGCAGCTCTGCCGGAGGAGAAAACCCGCTGCGTTACTGCACCGGTGCAGAGGGAGCAGGGAGAAACGGGGGGATGCAGCCAAGGAGGAAGCACGGCAGGGTTTGCACAGAGAGGTTTTGCAAAGGGGGTAATAAAGACCCGTTCTGCGTGGTTTGAAAAGGGGGCAACGTGCAAAGGCGTGCAGCGTGCGAAGGCGCTGCAATCTGCAAAAGCCCTGCGGCGTGCCAAGGTCTGCAACGCGCGAAGCCCTGTGGTGTGCAAAGCCCTGCAGCCCGCGAAGCCCCGCGGCGTGCAAAAGCCCTGTGGCGTGCAAAAGCCCTGCGGCGTGCAAAAGCCCTGCGGCGTGCAAAAGCCCGCAGCAGCACCGACTACACCACCGCGGCGATTTTCTGTGCCCTTCACACGCCCCCCCCCCCCCCTCACACCAGGCGACTCC